AAAGGTTTCGTGTTTCTTCACAGGCTTTGATATATACACTTCAAATATTTCTTTTTCATATAAATGTTCAAAAACAAAATTTGCACCTCAGTTTATAGACCATCAGCATAATATTGTAATATAGCAATTCTGAAACACCTACATGTAATTTATCACTACATTTTAACATCAATATCAGCATTTGCTTGTTCATACTTGTCATCCTTAACCTGAGTTTACTGTGTTTGACTGTGAGGATTTTAAAAATTATTTCTGGCTGTGCAAATACAAGACTCTTTGCAGACAAGACCTGAACGTGAACACTTGCGTGTGCCACAGTATATGGATAATGACTGCCTAAAGAAGATGACCTTAAGGTGTTGCCATTTGTGTACATTGCACTTAGGAGAGAAGGCAGAGTCTTCCTCCACTGTTTTGTATTAGATCAGTATCTTGTCGTCGATGCATTTGATGCGTTATTTTAGAACGTATTTTGTGAGCGAAAGGTTCTTATTTTTAGCTTATCTTTGGCATAAAAGCTGGTACGTGAGAGCATTAAAATATTCAAAAACTGTTTTGGCGTCAAACAACTGTGCTAGAAAAAAATCATTTATCTTTCTTCTTACATAGCAAAGTCTTATTGATTTTGAATTCAGACAGCTCGCTTTTACTTTCTAATCCCTGCAAACTCACTAGTCATGTAACAATCTTTCAGAACATGAAGAGCTGACAACAGATTTTTCAGACTTAATCCTAACTTTTCTACCCGGATGTGAAATGGAAGAAGCGTCATTTGTCCTTCACCACAATATGGAAACAAAATTCACTGACTTAGTCATGTTTCTCAAAGTGGTGGCTCGAGATCGCAATACCTATGTTTAAAAACCAGATTACTAAAGCATGGATAGTTTGATGGGGCAAAAGCTACACGTATTATGAGCCTTATGTAAGCCTCTTTATAAAAACAATGCATACTTCTATTGTTCTCAACACCTATACATGTCATGCCCATTTTACCAAACCACCTACCTATCCTCCACTAATTATCAGTCCCAAGAAACAGGGTGTTGCTGTTCGAATCCTACACCAAATATCCATATGGTTCAGCTTCTGAGTACATTCTAATAAAACAAATGCCATGCTCCTCCAACCTCTTGACAAGAATTCCAATTTAGCGCTGTTGAGCTATCCGTGAATTCACTCTATTGTTTGTGAATAAATATGCTCATGCTAGGGATTTGAATTTCACGCTGCATGTTGATATGACATGATATGACTTGATATGACATGATATGACTTGATATGACTTGATGGAGCCCTTTACATCCTAGCAATTGAACAACACCAATCTACACATAATTTTCGTTATCCATTTAACATAGAACCTCTTGTCTACACTATCCCCAAGCGTGGTTTTATTATCATTGCACAGTCAATAACTTATACTCTGTATTTTGCTGAAATCGCTATTTAATGTTAATGCCATTAGTTAAGCTTAAAACAGGCATAGTATTTCCTTTATTCACTTGAATACCCCTAACTATTGTCGTGTAAATTGTTCAAAACCACTCGTTTCCAGGTACACATTTCAATCTGCTTTCCATATCATCGGCTTTAATTATATTTGGCATATGAAGATTGCGAATAGCTATTCAATTTGATAGTTGGTGGCTCATACTTCTGCAGATACTCTTATTGATGTATACTTATCCGTTCTCATGTTCTTATTGGAGTCACAGTTTTATTTGTCTATCGTTTTTGTGTTTATTTATGGCTTGTTATTGACATGGTTGTTTCAGATGCGTGTTTCTAATATTATCTACAATAATGAAGATGCTGTTGTTGTTTTGTTCTTTACCTTTAAATTGTTAAACTTTATATAGTAATTAATCTATATATTTATTCTTATTTGTTGTCG